TCCTTTTTTTGCCGGGGAGAGTCAATGCAGCTGAGGCATGAACGATCAATTCATGGTTCTTTTCTCAGAACCAACTCCATATTTTGACGGGAGTCAACGATACTGCAGTCATCGTTCCATCGTACGCTGTTCGTTAGGAGACGGCGAAATACTATCAGAAGTATTATTGTGATTAATTGTTATGACATTTATTCTTGGACTTTGTGTACAACAACCTTATGGTTGGTACCATATTGGTGCAAAAATAAAGGATTCTTGAGTCACCAATTTGTATTCTGTTTTTTTCGCGTTGGTTATTGCACATTGTTGCTAAAGGTCTTTTAAGGGCAGCGTTAAGTCCAGTGTAGTTCGACCTGGACATTGACACACCCGTTGTATACTGAATAATCCAATCCATCACAGTTAGAATATCATTGGCGACGGTAGGCAGCCATCTCTTACTCCAGTCTTAACTTCAGCGGCTTTGCTGAGATTTCCGTTATGTATCACTTGACACTTGGCATTGTCAAATAGCTAGCTGCTGAATCTGGTTGATAAAGCTCTGATGCGTTGCGTGGTGTTGAAGTATTTTCCAAATTACTTTAAGGTCAACGCTTTCGAAAGCCTTTCCAAGGTCGATGCAGCTGAGATGGATATGTGGCTGCTATTCTACGCTTTGTTCTATAACGATGATGTGTAGAGTCGCAATTTGGTTAACACACAATTTGCTTTTTTTGGATCCACCTTGTTCCGGGCTATTCAACTTCTGCATCTCATGAATCTTCCACTATCTCCAGGATGATGCAAGTTAGCGTTTCGCTTGGCGTGGAGAAAAATATTATTTAACTTCACTTCTTGCAGAGGAACCTTCCCTTTATTGGAGGGCTGTGTTCCATTGGCAGTTCTGTGCCCAATGTCACTCGTAGTGGTATTTCTGGGTGAGGTACAGGTAGTGGCAGATTCAAGAGTCTGAAGCGGTAAATAATTCCCCAAAATTATTGACCACAGCAATCATCACTGAACACTGGATGCTGATCCTCACTGTTTGAGTCGACTTGGTTAGCTGAAAGCTTCCGGTCAAGCATCCAGGCCCTTGGGTACTCCGTCGTGTCACTTGCGTGCACGATCACTAGTCAGCTAAGCATTCACCTCAGTCCACGATTTGGTCCTAAAATATATGTCGTAGTTTGAATGACCCAACATTGTCTTGGTACACGAGAAACGAATACTATGGAGGTTGTTGGTATTAGATCTTGCGTTAGTATACTCCTTACAACTCGCGAACGTCGATACCGTCAGCCTCTAAAAGTCCATTGAGGCTACCAGCCCATTCACTGTTTTACCTGTTTCTCCTCCTTGGTAATTGGGTTCTCTTGAGCACCTTTTATTGGTTTCATCATATGAGTTGATCCCTTCGCGGATGGAACCTGGTTATCTGAAATAGTGTTCTCAGGTCCCTTCTACCTGCCTGCCTGTTCTGCTTCAGTTGCCGGCCAGTGTGTCGTGGAATTGTCTTTTGTCTTTCCTAGCACTCTTCTTCACCTCTTTATTAACTGAGAAATATAAGGAACTCAGCTTCTCCTTCCGTCGTCCATCTTTCCATCAAGGCATCTTCTCTTTCACCATCCTCTCCACTTCTATTAGATTTCATATGTCCATTGAGAGTCACTCATTGTCTAACCCCTTCCTTCTTGTTATTATGGCTATACGCGTCACCCCAAACATCACTTTCGGAGGGTGCCAATGTTCTTCCATGCAGGTTTCCTTAGTGATGCTACGTAACGTCACCAGCCGTGCTCTGATGGCCGCGGTGAAGGTGTCGCTTGATAATAATAATTTATACTTCGTATCAACGGGTAAGTTTACATGTCATTTTTGCAGGCACGATCAGTTGTGCTACAAATTACAATCGAGAAGTATAATAAATTAATACTTTTCAAAAGTTTAAGTTGTTCGATCATTGTACAGGCAATCAGAACAGTTCCGCACAAATGTTTAATTGCGAGCCCTTCACTAAGGTCACCAGCAGAGTTGAGCGACAACCCAAACTTCATCTTGTTTCCTGCTGATAGTTATGATCAACCAATGGACAGCTATATCTGGGTAAGTGCTATGCCTCCACGTGATTAAAAGCTAAATCAGGAAGAGGAGAACGTCCTGGGAAATTGCAAAATGGTATAAAATACAATTATGGATAATACATCATTGGAAGTAAATTTACAAGATATATACGACAAGGACCTGCAGGGTCCCCGGAGTGATAGTCTACATTAGCAATGTTTAATGCTAACCATGTTGATCTTAGCATGGAAACCATGACGTTTCCGATGAAAATTCAGCTTTGTTGAAGCATTGGTGTTGTCATGTTTTTTTTCCGCCAAAGCAACCAGACTTCAAGAAAGCAACGAATGTGAACAAAAAATTAGTTTTAAACTTTGTTAAAGGCCTAGGTAGTTAAGATAAAATGGAGCATAATAGTGTGTTTATAAAACGATTATCGTGAGGTTTATAAGTGATATCTCATTGAGAAGTGAATTCAAGGACCCCGAAGTTAGAACCTGTAGGACATGACGACCTGTGTGATATCACGAATTTCTGCAGGGCTCATATTGTAACATCTTGACAAGAAGCTCAAGAGGCTTGTAGATGTTAGAGGGAAAAGCATTTTTTATAATTTAGGTCTGTGCAACCCTTATTTCTCTTTTTTATTTAAGGATCTGGACTGATATTGAATTCATCAGCCATCAAAAATGCATGTTGCCATCATACAGACCGGAGCGACTCACATTTGTGACCACTACCATATCCACTGTTCATCATGTGCCACTTGACCTATGGTTTCTTAACGCTGAACTTGAATTAACGTCTATTTGCAGTTGCTTTGAAGGCTTTCGACATCAACTTGGTTTGAATAATGGTCTAGGACCACATCTACTCCCCCTTGACTTTGTATCCAACGAAGTGTCTGCACTTTCTTGAGATTGATGTGAACTCTATGCAGTTTCTGGTGTCTATCGTGGGGACCCCGGTGGTCTTGTGAATATTCTTGTGCTTGTACACTGTGCCTCTGATCACCAAAATCATTGAAAGAGTAGAAGTCTGTGAAGAGGTCTCTGTTATTATTCATTTATTTGAGGGTTGGTGAGTACAGTGCTGTATTTTCCTCTCCCAGCTTAGCATTCAATTCGCCCATTGGGATTTTGATGTCACCATTTGGGAGTTTGCCAATTACTGTTCGTAGTTGCTTATAGAAATCCCACTTCTTCTCTTGTTAAGAGTTGTTCGCAAGCGCGTTGCTTTGGATGATTGCCACTCTCTTTTTTTAGTTAAATCTTGTTGTCATTGTCCTGGTGCGGATTATGTTTCCACCGCATAAGAACTTTGGAGTATGTTGGCGACCTCATGATAACCACTTCCTCAGTATGTTATTGGCTATCGTGTGGGCGGCCGGAGTGAATAAGTGACACTCAAGGATTCTCGGCACCTGTATGCCATACATCATTCCTTCAGCAACCTGTTAAAACTTCCCAGCTTCATCCAATATTCGAAAATTCCATTTCATTTTATTTTCACTCTCATCGAAAGAAGACACATTGGCTGACTGGCCTCCCGAAGGCTTTCACCAAACCATATTATTCCACCCCTCCGATTTCAGGCTAGAATAAGGTTTCGCTTTAAATCTTTGTTGTCCTATGAAATATCTGTCACGACTGTGCTGATTCTTCTCGGTAGAGAGGCCAACCTTCAAGCTCAACATTTCCTCATTCCCCTGATTATGGACAAGGAAGTAAACTGATAAACTCGTAATCTAGGCGTTGATAGGACCTGTTCTACTAAGTGATACAGTCTGATACTGAACCACTCCATAGAGAACACCGGAACAATTACCAGTTACTCTCGGGAGCCAGGTTAGCTTAGCATAGCTCCTTTTCTTTTGGGTGCACCCACGCCCAACTTATTCGTTTAGCTGGTCACACCTTGGAGTCCACAACTTCATGACACAGTTATTATTGACGGGGGACATCATTCTAAAGAGGCGAATGCAGTCATTGAGCGGTACAGAGACTAGCTGAGAAGAGTAGGCCTTTATGTTCGTAGAGAGAGCAACTTGTGGGTGGCCTGTAAAACACAAAACGATTCGAGACTCCTGAGTAAGAACAAACTGGTGTTAGGACACAATGATGCTATCTGTGGAAATCTAAGACTAAGTGACTATCAGAAGTTACTTACACTGGTCCAATTTCATTTCGATTAAAGTTGATCTAATCCACTCAATGACTGGTGTTTGTCTACGATCCCGTCTCCTGGTAAGTTAAAGCGAAGACCAGTCAACTGGTTACAAAAGTCCTCTGGTGAAAGGAAAATCTCAAATCCCAGCAGTGACATCTTCTTGGAAAAATCATGTTATCACATGATAGGAAATGTAAATCAGAGTTTCTCTTATGACCCATGAACCAGAAATTCAACTGAAGCCTTAATTAAAGTCCGCAATAATGAATACATATGTCTAGATTATAACCAATCAAGTTGGAGTACTTATCTCTTAATTTCATGATTCATTTGACTGCAGTTTTTGGGCATGTTGTCTCCTTGAAATAATAGAGAAGATTTGTAGCTCAGGTGGATGATTTGCAACTTCGCGAAAGCTTCGCGACTAAACCAACCAGCTCAGAGAACACTTTTAATTGCAAATGTTGTCTCCTTCTTAAAGGAATGCACCACTGCCTTCTTGGTCTGTCAGCAACAACTGGGTGATTAAAAAGTGTACCTTCCTGTGTTAGAGTATCAGTCGAAACGATTCCCAACGTAATATTGTCGAGGCCAAGACAAAATCATGCACCTCATGAAGATAGACTAACACTCGGCAATTACTTGTACGAGAGCTACAGAGATTGGAGAGGAATGACTTCTGTTATAGAATCCTACAGAGTTCTAAAATAGCCCCAAAACGCAGGTAAACTAAAGCCAGAAAATCAGCAAGTTCATACAAAGTTGCCACATAGGTATTGAACGCTGGATACACACTGGGAGCGCTCCTTGTAATGTTTGCGCTAAATCCGAAGTAACTTGAAGCCCCGCGTGTTTCGAACTTCTCTCTGTAAAGATGATTATCAAGGAATAGTAAGTCGTTTCTGAATGTTATAAATGTTATTTTATATTATTCACTTTAATTACACATTATTAACCCCCTGACAGTCGTGTAATTTTACCTATGACAGTTGAGGAGTATCGTGTTGGCCAGTTGTACTCAGTTGCCGAAAGTTCCAAAGGTGAAACTGGTGGCGGTGATGGTGTGCAGATTTTAGTGAATGAACCGTTTGATCAGCACACTTATAAACCGGATCGTCCTTTACTAAAAGGTGATCCAAGGTTCACTACTGGACAATACACACATAAACATTATCATCTTGCACATAAAGTACCTGGATTTGTGCGTATGGTTGCCCCTGAAAGTGCACTTGTTTTCAATGAGTATGCATGGAATGCCTACCCGTACTGCAGGACCATTATTACAGTAAGTATATACTTCTAATCGCTATATAATACACAGAACAATTACATGCAAGAGAAATTTAATGTTACAATCGAATCACTGCATGTGGATTCCGATATCAACATGGAAAATGTAAGTCTATTATGCAGATGACTGTCACTCGAATTTAATTGTTTCATGTGCATTTTAAATTCATATTACTCTTCCATTATGTGACATAAATATTGGAAATACAGAAGACTGCCTTTGAGCTCCCACATTTGGGTTATAAGGCTTGGTTATTGTCTATATAATACCATTTCTCCCAGTAGTTCACAGTCTTTTTTATAAAGTAGTAAACTCGGAATTATGACTAACTTGCAATTCAATTCACAAGGTAATTTATTCTAGTACACCTCTCTCTCCGAGTTAGTAAGACGTTTCATTCTTACTAATTGCTTTACTCCATTCAACCTAGTGTTACAATTAAGTCGAAGGAAGTCTTTTGTCCATGAATAAATCAAAACGTCTGCTTAAAATACTCCCGTAATTTTTAGGTAAATCAAGGGGATGTAATAAGCGTGCAGCAGTTTATTATTTGAGAACTCAAAGTCATCAAGTGAAAATGATTTCGCCCTATTGAACCATCTGTAGTTGATGATTCCTAAACTTCCATTGACTCAGACTAACAGATAAGATTGTCTCATGCAACTTGGAAAAGGTGAATATCGTACAGCATAATATAATTTCGATAAGAATATCAATCATTGATATTGACACGCGACTTTCAGCTAATGGACAACCAGTCATAACTTTGCTTTGGGTTATGAGATTTAAGCTGTTGGGTAGTTTTACTATTCCTCACTGAAGGCTTATAAAGGTGTATATGAGTTTTCGGTAACCTAGCCACATCAATCAGTTTAGACTCATTGACTTACCATACAGAAAACAGTTCACTTTTTGACAAGCTTCCAATGGGAATGTACATTGTATACGAGCAGTACTACTTGACAAATATTTCTCAGTCCTATTGAAGAAAAGAATACGATCTTACTCAGCATACTCATTATTTAATGGACAGAGAGATATCTTGCCGATGTTTTTATGCATTTAACTCAAACAAGTCTAAACGTGTTTTAGTCGAGGGTATTTAGTGAAATGTTTTAGTTTCTTGGCAGCAATTAATCGCAAGATAGTTCAAGCCGTATTCACGTACCACTTCTGGGGATAGTTTTACCGAATATCAGTTATTTCTGAAGTAAAATAATTGTTGATTATTTTTAAGGCAATCTGAACTCTTGATTTCATGAAACTAGCAGTTCTTCTCTATTTAATAACTAGAAGAAACAGTTCAGTGAAATAGTCAAACGTTTGATCAAAAGTGACAAAAAATATATCTTCAAGGAGTTGACGAATGAGTGAATCAGTCGAACTAGTTCTAAACTATAACTCCTGATATTATTCTTATATGGCAATTCTAACCACAGGTTAAGGTTAGGTGCACGTTTCAAATTAATAGTCGTTGATGTGTTTGTAGATTAGTTTCTTCCTCAAGACTAACGTAAACCCATTGACTACTAGTCAGAATTTTGTTTTAACAGTTCTTTGATATCAAAATCTTTCTTAATTATTAAAAATAACTTACCATTCAATGGTTGTCATAGATAAAATAGTGCCTCTGAAAGTCACATTTGTTGTTAAGGCTTTGTGTTATACATAGTCTATGTTTATTTCCTCGTAAAACTATATGGCGGCACACTCCGGTAGACTGTTGAGATTAACTATTATTAGTATGAACAGAGTATAACTAGGGTTGTTGTTGCACTGAATTTCGACTACTTTCTTTAAAAAAAAGAAAACGCAGATTCTCTACTTGCTGCATAGGCAGTGGATATCAGTTAACCTTCTTACTTTTCTTGCTGGCATCAGCTAGACAGATAGAGGGGGTAATAGTTTATTGTTTCAGGTGATTCTTTTCTCATTATAAAAATATCAAGTTTCAAGTGTGTGAAACACTTCACATAGTTTTTTCTTTTCTCGGGACTTTTAAACAGACTTGCGTAACTCTGTTTTATTCAGGCTGTAAATCACATGTCCCGTATTACTTGTTATGCAATTGTTTTCGTTGGTTATTCACATTGAAAGCTGAATAGAAACAATTTTCTTTGAAACCAGTAGATTATGCAGGTCACCTGATTCTTTTGTCCATGGACTAGTAGCACTTTGTATCGAATAGAGTCAAAGCAGTGTCATACTGCTTAGCCTTGTAATCCACAGTAAAACTGATTGATAGATTCCAATCAATGCCCAGGGGTTGACAGCTGCATTAGTAATCGTTGGGAAACTGTCTTGCACGTAGGTGCCGTTATGAAATCATTCTATCAGTTATGTAGTGCTATGTAAGTATATGATCCTTAGATATTTTGTTATTATTATTATTACTAGGATCATGGAGATGTCGCTTATTGGCTTAAGCATTTAGTTTTTAGCCGTTAGGTTGCGGGTTCAAGTCCTGCTCCCCAATAAGTGAGCTTAAACGAACAATTAAGATCCGTTTTATGGTAAATGATCGAGATGCTAAGCATTCTTCAAGCTTACTGTATAGTCTTTTCCTCCATTTTCACTAAGTGTTACATTCTTTTAATTAGCTTTTTCCGTTAGTATCAGCGGTCTATTGAGCTATTCTTTTTGGAAAACATTCGGTGTCTTCTTGGCTTTGTAATTTTCTTCCTTGAGAAATTTGTTATATTGGTTGGAAGATTTCATCATAACCTGACATCAGTTAGAGAACCATTGCAAAACCTACGAGTACTGGAGAGCAGGTTGAAGGTAAGGCTTAACTCATCGAAGAATACATTGTGAAGTGGTCGTGCTATGTCATAAATTGGCAGAAGTTAGAATTCACTGGCCATTGGATCGGGTTCCAGTGACTGAGTGGTCTACGAGCTCTCCTTGTAACCAGAAGGTCCTGAGTTTGAACTCCAGTTCGTACCGACAAAGGGCCCCAAACTGGGACGAAACAGCCTTCCAGTACTCCCTGCAGATTTTCCAGTTGTTCTCTAACTGATATCAGCTCACGATGAAATCCTCTTACCACTCATACAAAATCTCTACAAAACCAATACTTGAAAATTTGTTAAACACTCATTTTGGCCTGTTTTAAAAAAACAGAATTATTTTTGTCGTTTTAATTAGCCTCATCAATTAACTCCACAACAGTTAGCTGAGGTTGAAATTATCTACATAGATATTGGTGACATCAATCCATCAGATAAAGATTACAATCCAAGCGAAGATCCTACAACCTTTCAATCTGCAAAAACTGGTCGTGGTCCCTTAGGACCTAAATGGTGGGAGGTATGTTGTCTGAAAATGTTTCACCTACTTACATTTATATGTACAAATTTTTTTTGGAAAGATGTATTTCTACAAATAAGCCAATGATTTTAGAGTTTAACATGCTATATTTGCTCTAAATTTACGTATACTTCCTATTGAAAGTCTCCTAATTTATTTTTCTTATTATTTTATTCCTTTACATTCCAAGCAGAATATAGTGCTTCAAACTGTGAGGTTTAAAGTACCAGTTGACTGACTGACTGACTGGTTTCAACGTAGAACTTTGCACAGATGTGCAGCAGTTCCAGTTGCAAAACTCCCTCCACTTAGCACACAGAGCAAGAGAAGAGAGTGAAGAGAGATTCACAAGAGGGATAATAAACAGAAGTGTAAGATGAAAAGAGCAGTAATATGGAAGGACAGTAGAATTTTATTGGATATGATGAATCACAAAGAGTTTTTTTTGATGTAATTGTGTTCTCTGAGCTGGATGGTTTATTTGCGAAGCTTTCATTATCCTACTAGCTTCTCGAGTAAACCATCCAGCTCAGAGAACACAACTACATCAAAATCATCCATCTGAGCTACAAATCTTCTCCATTATATCACAAAGAGTGAATGCATTTGCACTAGCCATTGGTAACGATTTTGGGCTAGTTGTCATTGGTTTTAACCGTCCTGAGGACCCAAATGAGTCAGGAAGTCTACACCTACCTACATGGCTGGCTGGCTTAAACTAACTGTTATGGATTTGGTTGACTGATGAAGCCATGTTTTGGTTTGACGACCACTGGTTAACCCTTTTCAAACCTGATCTTATGTCAGTCAGCTAACATTGGCCGTCGACGAAAGTAGTGGCTACGCTAGGCATGCGTAACACATGTCCTAACCATCTCATTTGATGTGACTTCAGTTATTATTATTCTTTTTTAGCCTCACGACCAACCTCGCCACTTTACCCGGCTCACTTACCGGCTAGGTGAGATTTAGGAGTGTCTCGTTGGTCGGAGGACGAAGCCTAGACTACGCTGTACCACCGACGCTAATTTAGTTATATATAATTCTTATTCTTATAATTTAACTAAACCGCTATTTAAAGAAAGTAAATAGATGAGGTTAGCATGACATTTAAAAGTACATTTGTATTTTTGGAGTTTCTATGGTAAATACCAGATACATAGAAACGTCATTGTAAACACATGTGAAATACCAAATGACCACTTTCATTTAAAGTAGACATCTGTACCAACTTTTTTTCTTGACTGGAATTCTCTTATACAAGATCCCTATGGCTATTTTTATATAAATAATTATAAGTCTATTCAAATCATCAGACATTTTAAAAGTATTATACCAATCTTCTAATAACAATAATTCAGAGTGTAGTTTAAGGGATAACTACCTAGAATGGCGGTCGCACTGTAAACTTGACTAATACCAAGCACTAGACCTTATATCCCAGTCGAAGTATCCAATTAATCCTACAAGAGGGGTCAGTCGTTAGCCTAAATAGCTCAGTGGTGTAACCTCTCTAACCGCAGCACTGAATGATACGTGTCCAAATCTCAGAATAGGGATATGAGTTTCTTCAAGATTGCAGATACTAGCAAGTGTCATTAAGTATGCAACTTAACTCAAGTCCAGGTAGGGCTTCCTGCTAATGGCCTCTAGCCATCTAATATACCACTTTCTCTATGCAACTAGTAACCAGCCACATAAGTTGTCCAATCGACACACTCTTAAATTTCACCTCGTTTATTAGTGAAATAGTAAGCCATACAAAAAAGGGGTGTGTGTTTGAGGGAAACTTTGCGTCAGGCTTGCATAGCACCATATCCCGTGAAGAAAAACAAGACCGGCGTTAGTGAAACTTTTTCTCTTCAGTGAACTCAAATAGCCTGGTATATATATATATATATATCCTCCTTTATGGCTGTGACATCTGGCTATTGAGAGTGGAGGACATGAAAAGCCAGGCTAGCTGTCTTTGATCATAGGTGCCTGCGTTCTATCTCCCGTGTGAAGTGGTATAATAAGGTGAGCAATATTGAGGTAAGGCTTCGGTCGAGTGCTAGGTAAGGAGGGAAAATCAATCGACGAGGCTGTGAAGTTACACCGACTTGGATTGTTAGGACATGTGTTACGCATGCTTAGTTATATCGCCTTCCTCGACGGACAATGTTAGCTGACATAGGGTCAGGTTGGAAAAGAGCCAGAGGTGGTCAAACCAAAACATGGCTTCATCAGTCAATGAAATCCGCAACAGTTAGTCTAGGCCACGCAGGAAGGTGTAGACTCCTGGTTGGGGTCCTCGGGATGGTAAAAACCAATGGTTAGAAACAATTGGTGACATGGCTCAAAATCGTTCTCAATGGCTAGCGCAAATGCATCCACTCCTTGTGACTTATGATTTCCAATGAAACTGTTTTGTTCTTCGTTATTACTATTCCTTTGTCTCACACCTCTGTTTACTGTCTCTAATATGCATTTCTTCTACTTCCTTCTCTTGCTTTGTGTGGTACATGGAGTGTGGCGACTTAAACTGCTGCACATCGATGCAAAGTTTTATGTTGAAAGCAGACATATATATATATATATATGACAGCGCATTCTTAGCCTTTGGCAAGGTTAAATATGCGCATTTCTATATATCTTATATATATATATATCTTATATATATATATATATTCTGTTTTTGCGTGATTTATGTAAAACTACACACGCACATACACGCACCCACCTTACAACCCTGATAACACTAATGTAAAGGTTGACATTTCACTCTGTTAATATAAATATGCATATATAGATAATGTTATATTAATATTTTTAAAGTAAAATATCAATTAACATATTACATCAGTGATAAAAGTAGTAGAATGGAGAAAAGAAAAAGTAGCATGACAACAACAACGACAACAAATATGTGAACTTTGTAATTTAATTTGTGTAAGTCAGAAATAGTTTGATAATCTGTAAATTCCGTTTCTGTTCTGGACATAAACAGAAAAGCTGTACAACATCACTGGTCATACACACCGGTTTTTTTTGAAATTTTTTAAAATTTGTAAATGTTGAGTAAATTTTTTTGTTTTGTTTTTGTTTTATGTTCTTAGTTTATTTATCGGTTTTAGTGTCGTCATTTTTACTGCGGTTAAAATCTAAGCTTTTGTCATAAACTTGCTTGTTTCTAAAGGTAGGCAGGTGAGAGAGCCTACGGAGTGATGATAACCACTTGTATACGTCAGGGATGCCCACTCTCCTCATTTCTGTTTAATTTCATTATGGAGGTAATGATGAACTATGATGATGCTACAGGACTGGAATACGTTGATTCTTAGCTTAGAAATAGGGAGTGAAGTGGTTGTTGCAGCGTGTAGACCACCTCACTTATTTAGAAAGTTGCATTAGGCAACACCAGCGCGTTGATCGCTGACGAAATCCCAGCACAGATACAGAAGGCTGGTTTGGCATGTACTGACTTACTCCATCTCTGGCGTAGACGACTGGCTGTCGACCAAAGGGCGTGTGTACTGCTCAGCAGTTCACCTCGTCCTTCTTTATGGCTGGCTGTGAGATCTGCCCATTAAAAATGGAAGATATTGGAAAGCTGGCTGTCTTTGACTAGAGGTGTCTGTGCTCTGTCTCCCGTGTTAATTGGCAATAAGATGGTGAGTAATGTGGAGATTAGGCGTCGGTCGAGTGTTAAGTATGGAGGGTCAGTAAATCGATGAGGTTGTGAAGCCACACCGATTGAAGCGGCTAGAACACAGGTTTCAGATGACAAACTATCGCCTCCCTCGACAGATAACGTTAGCTGACATAAAATCAAGTGGGTAAAAAGCCAGTGCTGGTCAAACCAAAAACTTGGAATCACTTCATGAAATATTTGACAATTATTTTGAGCTAGCCAGGTAGGAAGATGTAGACTGTTGTCTGGTTGGGGTCATCGGGTTGTTAAGAACCAATGGCTAGGAGTGACTGGTGTGATATGGCGTGTAAAACCCTTCTCATTGGCTTAGATGCATTCACTCTTTGTGGTCTGTCATAACCATTCAACTCTGTTGTTTTTCCATATCACTATTCTTCCTCCCATACATTTCTGCCTCATTATCATCGACCTTTCGAACCTCTTTTCTCTCTATTTAGTCTTCATTTTTGTGTACTAAATGGAGTATGGTAACCTGAATGAATTGCTTCACTTCTGTACAAAGTCGTATGCTGAATGCAGTCAGTTCAGTTGGACACCGTTCTTAAAGATCATAAAAATGTGTGTAAACGCCAATGTTTAGCATCAGTTGGTAACAAAAACATGTGAAATTACCTATTAGGTAGGGAAACAAACGGATAAATTGTGTAACTTGCTTAATTAAGTGGTCTTATGTAATGTAAAACCACTAAGAGTTATGAATAGCCTTCAGAAGTGATTTGCAAGCGCTTAGAAACTGAGAGAGTAAGCGATTCAGAATATTAAAGTACTGTTTTGTAGGGATTTGATTTGTTGCGGGATTTCATCATGAGCTGACATTAGTTAGAGAACCATTGGAAAGCCAAGGGACGACCATTTCGTTCTAGTTTGGAACTCTTCATCCGAATTAACCCACTGGGGTTCGGGCCCAGGACCTTCAGGTTACGAAGCGAGCTAGTAGACCGTTCAGCCATTGGGACCCCAATTCCATGGCCTATGGATTTCAACTTTTGCTAGTTCACGGTATGGCGCTACCAGTAGCCAGTGTCATTCGTGGCGAGTATCTGTCCTCACACCCCACCTGCCGTACCCTAATGGTCTCGACTTCTCACTAGAACCCAGGTAACCGCCTTGTAATCGGTAGGTCCTGGGTTCAAACCTCGGTGTTTGACGTGCTAATGAAGAGTCCCAAACTAGGACGAAACAACTCTCCAGCACTCCCAGATTTTCCAATGCTTCTCCGACAGACTCAGAATATGTTATAAAACATTTTAAAGTCAGGAGTTTGAAAAGTCAGTGGTGACTTACATACCAAATTATTGTATGAGTTACATTCGATGTAGTAAAAAGGATTAGATAGACCGCAATTTCATATTCATCAGAATGTTGAATATTCCACATTGTTGGCAACATTTACATGCATATATCAACTGACGTACCCCAATGGAGCTACGTTCATGGGTCATACCTTTGGGATATTGTCTAAACGTAGAGAAGAACATCTTCCAATATTGGTTGTCAAAAGGAACAATTAGACTTACTTTAATTCCTTAACACCTTGTTTTTGAGTCACATGTTTGTGTGTCACTAGAGAAGTCATTTAGAAGTAAGGTCAAGTCGTGCAAAGGGTTTCCGGAGACATATTCGGGTCACAATAGAAGCTGTTGCTGTATACACGAGAAAAACTGGGGTTTGTACAGTCCGTCTGGGATTTCATAAATGGTGTATCCATCTGTTCCACTGAGAACGATTTTGGACAATTTCATCAACAGTCTGGCTTTTAGCATCTCAAGGATAGCAATCAGACGGTGTCCTACACCTTCCCTGCATGCCTGATTCAATCTGACATTCAAAGATTTCATATTTCCTAATTTAATGCTGTGTCAACTAACATTATGCGGCGGCGAAGGCGAAGACTTTGGATGCGAAACACATATTCTAACCATCTCCATCGGTGCAGCTTCATCTATCGACTATCCCTCACCTAACTGTATATCTATCCTCAAAATTACTTGTCATGTTATACCGCTTATCGCGGGAGATGGAATCCAAACGTTTATGATCGAGGATAGTTGACCTTTTCATCTCTTGTTCTATTTTCAGCCATCATGTTTCATAGCTATGAAGAAGTACAGAGCGCATCATTTGCTTGACAGGCAGATATCACGTTCCCGTCAGAGATTAACGTAAGTTGTTGGTATAGGCCGTACAAGCCTTTCATATCCGTGCTGAGACTGCATCAGTAATCAGTTCATTAGGGTTGATACAATTTCCAAAATAAGTGAAGTGGTCAACACATTCAACAACTGTGTACTCCCAACCTATTCTTTAAACTAGGTATCGGCGCAGACTAGTCCTGCAGTATTCTCTGATATTTCACAGGGGTGAATCATATGCCAAACATGCTAAACGTTTTGCTCAAATTGTTAAGCGTCGTAACCTAGAAGGGCTATATGAGCAGCTGCATACTCAAAGGTGGTGACGGGACAATTTTTTCTTAAATTTCTTAAATTGTTCTACACCCCAAAACCACTTTGTTTTGTCTTCTTTTTATATGTATTTTTTCTTATAGAATGGTTATGAAGGACCGATTATGTGCGCTTATAAACTTGTTATGTGTGAATTTAAAATGTGGGCAATGCAAGGACGTGTAGAGAAGATGATTCAACGTGTATGTTACCTTTCCTTTTGTAAATTTAACTTTTTTTAAATTTCCTTTACGTCCCCAGTGGAACATAGGCCGTCAAGCTAGAGGCTTGAAGTTTCGATAGCAGTGGTGTTTATTTTTATGGGTAGGGGTTGCTAGCCCCATGCCCAACCTTCCCTGTTTACCAGTCTTATAATTGGCTTAGTGAGGTAAAGGAGTGCCTTGTCGGCCGGAGATCGAACCCCGAACCACCTGTGGCGTGGTTGGCTAGCATTCTAACGCTGTGCCACCGACGCACAAATTCAACTTATTACATTTTTATTATTTTGTTTATTTAAGCACAAACTGGGTACAATATGGTGGGGAGGAGGTACTAAAAGAAGCACCACATTCGGATACTACTCAGAAAATGAAGCAGGTGGTGGTTATTTTGAAAAGATAACTTCCTGAGCTTTTGACAAAGCGGAGGAGGAGAGCAACATCAAGAGCTGCGTTCCTATGGCTACTTGGTAACTAAAAAAGATTTTGTGCACCACTGGTTTCTTTCGGATTCTGGAGCCCATGTGCACATCACAAACTTTACAATCAGGATTTTCCATCTCTTATAGATGTACCTCGATGTCCACTATTCTGGTAGTAGTAAACACCTAATATTCACATTCGTCCTCTGTTAGAACATACTCCCATGCCTCCTCACCCGGCGTAAAGGCAGTGAATAGGATTTAGGTGGTGTAGGCACTGAACATGTGGTCACTTGGGAGGATTTGGAGAATGAAGACCTTAGTCTATGCATTTTCGGCCGCATCAGATCACCGTAATGTATACAACTTTTTTAAGTGGGAAAAAATATAACTGGGACTGTGAATCACATATGTAAGCACTTAACTGTTCAACAGTAGAGGTCATAGACAGCCGAATGTTGTCACTGGTGTTCATACAATCGTTATGTAAAAAACTGCACTTGGTTAGTAATAAGTGCCTCCTCTCCATTAGTATACAGTAATAATTTTGGGCATATTCTTTCTCAAATCATGATACTACTTTTAATTTGACACTAGTAACTAGTGTGATGTGTCTAGTCCTCTCTTTTGGTGCAGACTGAATTCTATCAGTCAGGTTTGTAATGTGGCCACCATTCTAGGTAGCTCGCCATCACGGTGCACATTGATTTGATGGTATTAGATGGTTGGAAGCAATCGGTCACAGGAAGCCTTGCTTGACCTAGGTTTCGTGCTAGTTAGCACTCATCAGTCAGCAAGGCGTATCTGCAGTCACCGTGAAGGAACTCATGTCCCATGTCTAAGATTCGAACCCGCGTCACCCAGCGCTGCCTACAGTCAGATACGTTACCACCATCTAATGTCATCAAATCAATGTGCACCGTGATGGCGAGCTACCTAGAATGGTGGCCACATTACAAATCTGACTGATAGAATTCAGTCTGCAACAAAAGAGAGGACTAGACACATCACACTAGTTACTAGTGTCAAATTAAAAATATCCACTACTGTCCTACAGGAGGTCAATTGCGAGCCTGAGTAGCTCAGTGGTAACGTCTCTGACTGCAGCACTGGGTGGTGCGGGTTCGGACTTCAGAGGGGACATGAGTTCCTTCAAGGCGATTGCAGATACGCCTTGCTGACTGGTGAGTGCCAACTAGCACGAAACCTAGGTCCAAGGCTTTCTGTGGCCGATTGCCTCCAACCATCTAACATCATCATACTACCACTAATTTTGTGCTGCACACACTCCTTTTTGTCCACTTTAGTATCATTATATTCATATTGCTCTATGTATGCTGTTTTTCGAAATGGGTCACTTCTGTTCAAAGTTGTGCGCTGATTTGTCAGTCATTTAGTATATCCCTGTTTATTCTGATTATTCTCTTGAGTTTTGAGTGGAACTTAGAGGGCTCCTGTAGCAAATCTCCATTTTCTCCTCTTCTCCACAGTTCTCTTCAGCTAGCCCCACGATTGGTCACAAGTTGTCATCTGCTCCTCACACGATCTCCTTCATGTCAACCTCGAGCGTCCAACTTGTCGTTTCCCACCCGGGTTCCACTCTATGTCCTGGCGTGTGGTTGTCACTCGGCGGTCTCTTCAGTAGCGTGTGTCTGATCCATCTCCATTTTATTCAGCATATATGTTGAGCAATAACTTCTTGATTGGTTCGTTCTCAGAATTTCTTGTCCTTAATTCTTTCTGGCTGGCCATCTGATTCTCAGTATGGAGCCAGCGAAGATGGTAAAAGTCTGTAGTAATCTGTTTGAAATCCTCTTCATGACGCGCCAAGTTTCCAACTCATCTGGGAGAATTGACTTAACCTTGATGTTGAAAATCCGAATTTCGTTCTTTCTTCTGAGTGCAGAAGATTTCCAAACTGATATCAGATTGATAAACATCTGCTTTGCCATTCCGATTCTGGTTTCAACGTCTTCATTCGTACTGTCGTCTGTAGTTGAGATGGCGGTTCGTAGATAAGTGAAGGAAGTGACCTCTGTCAGATTTATTCCTTTGATAGTGTTTAGTACTGTTGGTTGGTTTTCTTCATCACCCCCATCTTCTCTTTTTTAACTTGAAGTCCTGTCTGTGCTGCTTATTCTGTCAACTTATTGATTTTCTCCGGTAGTTGTTCGAGTTTATGTGGCATAAGATGTAAAATCGTCCGTGAAGTCCAGATCTTCTAGAGTCTTCCTATCGGTACAACATATTCCACTTTTCTTGCTCCTGACAGGCTTCCGCAAGATGTTGTCCACCACAATTAAGATATATATGTATATATATTGGCAAAAGTTAAAGTTGATGGGCCATTGAATCGTTTCCCATTGGCTTAATGGCCTATTGAAAGAAGAAAAGACCGAGGAGACTGAAAGGAATGTTTATTTGATGAAACGTATATGGTACATAGCTAAATTTGGTATACCATATTCTCAACCAGCCATTTGCACATCTTTACCACATCCTTGACGAATTGGTCGAATATCGTCTCATTTGATAGCTTTTGGATTCTGCATCATATGGCAACATTCTTCTCATGGTTCTCTTCTTTGATTGCTCTTTCCAGTGTGCCAAACATATTGTTACTTCTTTTCTGATATACTACTTATATCGGATTATAAGTAGCACTCACCACACTATGAGCTCTCCTTGTAACCAGAAGGTCCTGGGTTCGAACCCTGGCGTAGGGTGCGTACTGCCGAAGAGTCCCAAACTAGGATGGAGGAAACAGCTGTCCAGTACTCCCTGCAGGTTTTCCAATGGTTCTCCAACTGATGTCAGCTCATGATGAAATCCTCCAATCAATCAATATGTCTAATTAATTTTTAATTTTATTCCTTGACGTTCCCAGTGGAATGTAGGGCTTCAATCTAGAGGCCTGTAGTTTTGGTAGCAGTGGTGTAGCCTGGTGCCCCCACTTTACTAGTCTTATTACTGGCTTAGCGAGGGGAAGGAGTGCCTTGTCGGCCAGAGGTCGAACCCCGAACCAAGTGTGGAGTGGTTGGCGACCATTTTACTGCTGTACCACCGACGTCATATATATATGTATATATTATAGGAAATGTATTTTGTCTTACCACCTTACATTCTCTTTCTTTCAAAGGTGAAAAAAATTGTAAGGAAAGCAGGAAAATGTATGCAAATTAAAAGTCCATACTAGCAGTAATGTGATTACAAATTAGATTCACATGATTATAGTATGTTCCTGTTTTTGAGTGATCAATTATATACATGTGTGTGTGTGTGTGTGTGTGGTATCCAGTGACTGACCAAAGTATTCCAAAGTAAATTTGCATAATCAAAGAAAAAGTTTTTTTTAAAAAGTCAAAGCAAATCCACATGAATGAAAATGCTTTTTTGTTTCTGTCAATCCCACTCATACTTAATACAGTATTACGTAATAATAAAATTGACAGAATTTCGAATTGGATAGGCCATTGAGCATTCTGTCCGTCCAAGGGGTTGGATAGTTACCGAACTCGCCTTGTAACCTGAAGGTTTTAAGTTCGATCCCTAATGATGGCATCACAAGGTGCTTATTGTGCTGAAGAGTCCCAAGCTAAGACGAAACATATGTTGAGCACTCGCAGGTTTTCAGTCGTTTTCTAATTCCGTTTATAGGGTTTGTGGATATCTTAGACTAATTGTAATTATGCTAGACTTTCGTCATAGACCAACACCAGTTACCAGAGACGTCATTGAAAGCTAACAGGGAGCACTGGACAGTTGTTTCGCCCCATTTCGGGATTCGTTGGCAACGGTGCACCCATGGTGGGCTACTGCCAGGGATCAAGTTCCGGACCTTCAGGGCACGCAACCAAGTTCACTGACTATTCAGCCACTTGAAGGGGAACTCAATGAGCCGTGAATTCTAACTTGTGTCAGTTCGCGATGTTAGCGCTATGGCAGCCAACCAATAGTTTTAATTGTTCTCTAACTGATACCAATTACTGATGAAGCCGAAAATAAATCAAATCCCTACAAAATTAATCCGATGCTCGTTAGTGACTAGCTAGAGGACGAATTTGCTTGGAGTTTCAATAAGAAGTCGTCACTAGTGCGCGTTGCGTCTGGTCGAGTGTAAGGACAAACACTTGCTGAAGACATTGGCTTGTGGTCGCGCTAAAATGACCAGTTGGCTATTAAGTCGGACCCTAATGGCTGATCGGTCTATGAGCTTGTCTTATAACTGGAAAGTCCTGAGTCCGAACCCCGTTGGTTGAGTATATGTGGAAAGTCTCAAGCTCGGGTAAGACATAGTTGTCCAGTACAGTAGTACTCCCTGTTGATTTCCAGTGGTTCTCTAATTGATGTCAGTTTGTGATCACACCTGTAGTTAGCCAAATCTCTGGAAACCAACAGTTGATATTACTATTATTATTACTATTGTAGCAAGAACGGCGATTATTTGCCAATTTTCATCGTCAAGTATTCTGTTGGATGGATAAATGGCACGGGTGGACAATGGATGATGTAAGAAGACATGAAGAACGTACTAAACAAGAATTAGAAGAGGTAAGTTCTACGCCCTAACATTTTATGATCTTTTATTCCTTGCATTTATTTATTTCATGTTTTTTCTAATATCTTTTCTGTTTCTTATCTCATGGAGTGAATAATAATTTTATGGCGAAATATAAGGATAATAGAGAAGATTTGTAGCTCAGGTGGATGATTTCCAATTAATAGTGTTCTCTGAGCTGGTTGGTTTAGTTGCAGGGCTTTCGTCGTCATTCTGGACAACATCTTCAGCGCAATTTTTAGAGTAAAGTGAACTAATTTAGACTTCTTCATGAGTGATAGAATCGTGTCTCCCGGCAACCATCTTTACATATGTATTGATCATTTTCTATTGACTTGGTCTATATTAACGTGTTTGTTAATCGCATATTCGTTTGAGTACCAGACTTCTAGGAATTCCCTGGCACTTTTGGTGTTTCCTCTATCTAAGATTTCGACATTATCCCAATCAAATTGATGTCCATAATTGTCTATATGCATTGATATGAAAGAATATATATCGTGTCTTTTCACGGTTGATTCGTATTCATGGATTCTGATTTGAAGGGGGCGCCTACTTTGGCCGATGTACAATTTATTTTGTAAATGGTATTAATTTTACCTGCTTTTTCTGTTGGATCTTTCGGTTTGCACAATATTTAATTAAGTGATTTGACTGGCTTGTGTGCTATATCTATATCAAACGGTTTCATTATTCTAGCTGTTATTTCAGAGATATTTTTTATGTATGGTAGGATGAATTTTCTTATGTTCTTTGATGATGGTTCCTTGTTGGTGTAGTGATTCGATTTTAAACACTTTTTGATGAAATTTTGTGGATATCCATTCTTTTTGAAGACAATTAGAAAGTATTTTCCTTCCATTCTTTTCAACTCTGGAGTGCTACAGTGTGTTTGAATTCTTTTAAACAATGTCTGCACACAGTTTCTTTTGTGAGTGATTGGATTACTGCTGGTATAGTTGAGTGTGTGCGTTGATTTCCTATATACTTGTGTTTCTAAATTTCACAAATCAGCCGTGAAAAGACACGATATATATTCTTTCATATCAATGCATATAGACAATTATGGACATCAATTTGATTGGGATAATGTCGAAATCTTAGACAGAGGAAACACCAAAAGTGCCAGGGAATTCCTAGAAGTCTGGTACTCAAACGAATATGCGATTAACAAACACGTTAATATAGACCAAGTCAATAGAAAATGATCAATACATATGTAAAGATGGTTGCCGGGAGACACGATTCTATCACTCATGAAGAAATTTAAATTAGTTCACCTTATGTTAAAAATTGCGCTGAAGATGTTGTCCACAATGACGACGAAAGCCCTGCAACTAAACCAACCAGCTCAGAGAACACTAATAATTGGAAATATAAGGATATATTAAACCTGGGAGGATTACAAGGAGTAAGTGCATCTGAACCCCTATTAGAAGGATTTTTCACGCCATATCACCAGTCATTCCTAGCCGTTGGTTCTTACTAACCCCATAACTCCAACCAGACAGCAGTCTACATCTTCCTACCTGGCTAGTTCAGACAAATTGTCGAATATTTCATGAACTGGTTCCAAGTTTTCGGTTTGACCAGCACTGGCTTTTTACCCACCTGATCTTATGTCAGCTAACGTTGTCTGCCGACGGAGGCGACAGTTCGTCATCTGCAACAGGTGTCCTAGCCACTTCAGTCGATGTAGCTTCACAACCTCGTCGATTTACTGACCCTCTATACGTAACACTCGACCGACGTCTAACCTCAACATTACTCGCCATCTTATTGCCAATTAAAACGGGAGACAGAGCATAGACACCTCTGGTCAAAGACAACTAGTCGGGCTTTTCATTTCTTCCACTTTCAGTGGTCATGTTTCACAGCCAACCATAAAGAAGTAGGACATAGCGAACTGCTAATTAGTACACACACGCTTTGATGGATAGCTGGATATCGCGTCTAGACGAGATATGTCATCGTCGAGCTGATGACTGCTATGCGCAAGCCTTTTGTATCCGCACTTAGGTTTTGTCAACAATGATTTAAACTGCATCTTATAACAGACGTGTATTTAAATGGATATGGATGGGTTCAGTTTGCCATATTTGAAAACAAGTGTCCCAATTTCCTAGCGAAATTAAATAGCAATCTGTAAAAGACCAATCTTTCATCACTCACTATTTTTTGGTTTGCACAGGTCGAAAGCACTCTAAGCTTATGCTTACATATTTTCGCTCAGGATGTATCTGTCTGTCTGTTTTAGACATAGAACTTTGCACATATGTGCGGCAGTTCAAGTCGCCACACTCCATGTAAGACACAAAGCAAGAGAAGAAAGTAGGAGAAATGCATATTAGAGACAGTAAACAGAGGTGTGAGACAAAGGTATAGTAATAACGAAGAACAAAACAGTTTCATTAGAAATCATAAGTCACAAGGAGTGAATGCATCTGCGCCACTGAGAACGATTTCAAGCCATGTCACCAATTGTTTCCAACCATTGGTTTTACCGTCCCGAGGACCCCAACCAGTCAGAAAGCCAGTCTACACCTTCCTACGTGACTGGCTTAGACTAACTGTTGTAGATTTCATTGACTTGTGCCATGTTTTAGTTTGACCACCGCCAGCTCTTTTCCAACCTAACCCTATATAAGCTAACATTGCCTGTTGTCGAAGAAGGCGATGACTAGGCATACATAACACATGTCCTAACCATCTCAGTCGATGTAATTTCACAGCCTAGTCGATTGATTTCCCCGCCTTACCTAGCACTCGACGCCTAACCTCAATATTGCTCACCTTATCATACCACTTTACGCGGGAGATAGAACGCTGACACCTATGATCGAAGACAGCTAATCTTTTTATGTCTTCTGCTCTCAATGGCCAGGTGTCACAGCCATAAAGGAGGACGGAGCGGACTGTTGAGCAGTACACACACCCTTTGGTCGATAGTCGGATATCGCGTCTACGCCAGAGTCGGCGTAAACTGGCATATGCGAAACTAGCCCTCTGTATTTCGTGCTGAGATTTCGTCGTAGATCAACCGGTTGGGGCTGATGGTACTTCCCAAATAAATGAAGTGGTCAACATGCTCTACCACTTCACTTCCTATTTCTAATCTAGAGGTCGGGTATATTTTTATAGAATATAATATTTGCATAAATTTGACATGTTTATCTTCCCTTACCTTGGTATTGTCTTTCATTTTTGTTTTTCAAGCAACGTAAACGAGGCAGTCTACGTGGTCATGTCACAGAGGAATAAATGCTCACTTGTTCGGTAGTATTATTTATTTTTTCTTTCTCCGTCTGTCTGTCCCTCTCCCTGTCGGATTGTTGCATAATGATAGCAGCAGCTCCAGCAGTAAAACACATCACATCCAAGAGCGATCATCATCATCATTCTCTCCCAGCTATCTATCTATCATCTATCCCCCTTTTGTTTTAAAAAAATAATTCCTTTGTTTTCATCACCACCTCAACTTTTAATTGATTGCAGTATTTCCCTTTTTTCCTTTCCTTTCCTTTGATTCTCTGAAGACTTCTTCCACGACCTTTGTGAATGTGTAATCTTATTATGAAAAACTATGACTTGTAGATTTCCTTTTCTTTTCATTACTTTGTTTTTTATATTTTACTTACCTGTTTGACTTATTGCATAACTGTCTATCCCTTTCTTTTTCATGCATATATGCCGCGGATTAATATTTCCTGTGGTGAATGAATGACTTTCAACAAAGGCGTCTAGTTGCGTCTAGTTCCTTCTAGTTAGTTACCTCATTGACTTTTTCTACTCCTTCGCTTCGCTTCACTTCCCCTTCACGTTACTTCACTCCCCTTTCTCTCTCACCTTACCTACTCCCTTTTCTTTCGTTTACTTCTTCGGTTTTTATACACACCCACACTTGAGGAAACAACATAGTACTGCTACTGCTACGAATAATAATAACAATAATAGTGATGTAACAATGATTTCAGAGAATCAACTCATTCTGTGTTGGCATGTATGTATTCGTATGAGTGTTGGTGTGTATTTGTGTGTGTTGGTGTGTGACTGCGTGTTCGCTTACCTCATTAGATAATCCTATTTACTTAACAATCTAATTACCTACTTCTGTGAGTATATACACACATAATATGCGTACAGATTATAAACAAAACTGTCAACTCATGGCTACAAATATCACTCTTTGTGTACACTACAATGTGTGTTTGTGCGTGTGTTTAGGATATACTTAGCCATAGTATTCTCAAAAATCATGCTCATATATATACATAAGTATACAAGTGTTCCATTCATCTCTACTTGTTTACACTTTTCTTATTTGTCTGTTTATGTTCTCCTCTGTTTTCTTTTGTGACAATTATGACCAGTTTTACTACTACTGCTAATGACGTTACTATTATTATTATCATTGTTACTCTATCAAGAAGGAATCTGACCTGTTTGTTATACTTTCTCGACTCACTCACTCACTTATTCCCTGGATTGCAATTAATCAAGTCTAACTATGGGTGCTCTTCCCCCCCCCCGTCCCCTACAGCGCTTCGTCAAACGTGCACTCACCCTCTTTCTGTCTCTCCCACACACACACAAACACACGTCTATCTCTTCATCATTCTGTCAATTCAATCATATTTAAGATGTGTGTAGAAGAGACCATATCTAGTATTTTCTGCGACTGTTTACCTCATCCTACGCCCCCCACACACACACATAGTGAAAATGACTTCAAAATTCTTGTGTATCTATCTAAAGGGAGAAGTAGTAGGACGTTGAGGATAGTTTTGACAATTTTCCTTCAGATTTCTTGTTATTGTTGTTGCTGTTTTTGTAAATTCTTCTTGTCTCTGTTTCTTCTCTTCCTGCTTAAAGAGTATTTACCTTGTCCTCTTACTTATGTAACAACAATTTCTGAAATAATCGTTGTTAATGATGATGATGGCAATGAGAATTGATTGCTCTTCTACGTACGTACGTACGTACGTGCATACGCGTGTGTGTGTTGGTGTCCGTGCCTGCGTGCGTGCGTCTACCTCCTTCTGTATATTCCTCTGTCTTCTCTATTTTGTTTACGCCTAATTGTTGTTGTTGTGATGTTGTATATGATTCTAATCATAATCATAATAATATTTATTTGTTATTGAGTGTTATTCATTTATCCTACTTACTTACCTACTTACTCACTTACTTTGTTGTATAAGTGAGAGTGCATTCATTATACTAATTACTACCTACATATTATTATTATTATTGTTATACTTGGTGTCAATACTACTACGACTGCTATTACTGCTGCTGCTACTACTACTACTACTACTACTAATGAGTAGTATATACATATACATCTTCTTTCCTTATCATACTTCTTCTTCTTGTTAATTATTCTTTTCCTTTTGTTTTTGTAATTCACAAAGATTTACAAAAAAAGAAAATTGTGTAAACAATCGAATAATGACGATAATAATACTAATGATTATTGGAAACGAAAAAAAACAAACAACAACAGGCAATCTGTATAGATTCTTCTTCATCGTATAATTTATTATTGGGAATGAGTTCCGAGTAGAAACATAAGGAAGGGCTCCAGCAGTACATCTTTATTTCATTGTGCTTTTTCTGAAGTCCTCTGTAACTGGCTTTACGATTGCCTATAATCTGTCATCTCCTTATTACACGATCTCCTCTATATATGAGTTAATGCTACCCCTACACTTACGATTCCTCGTAAACTAGCTGAGGGGTCTCCTGACACTCTGAAAGTGAATTTTGAAAATTCACCTTGTTGGCCGGGTGAGATTAAGTGTATGATCACAATCGGGTCTTGTATGCATGTATCAAGATGCTAAAGTGTTGCCTGTTGTCCGATGTGACGTTGAAAGCTTCTATATGAAGTTGACGACGTGGCTTCAAGAGGCTGTCGAGGGTGTTTCTATGGTTGTCATTGTTGTTTGTGATCACAGAGTGAAGTGAAGATAACTCACTAGCCTGAAGAATACTACTGACTGTAGTGGGAAAGCAAGATGATGAGGGTGACGGACAAAGGAGACTAATTATGTTTTTGAAAGTGTGTGAGCGGTTGTTACTTCCCGGCTGCCCATACCGTAGAATTTGACTGCTTCTTCGGGTACCTAAAACAGAAAGAGGGTTACTGTTGCGTGACCGGAGAGCTCAGGGGATAGCTGCTTGAGGCCAGTCACACATGGCCTGTATGAACGGGTTTCTTGGATTGGTTCCGTAACAGTAAATTTACTGCTGGTTACGTACCACCATAGGGTAAGTCGAGATGTACAATTTTTGGGGTCGACCTTTCCTTACTCTCTCTCTCCAGAGTAGAGAGACAGCATAGCTGGCATGCTGGTCAACTGAGGGAAACACCTCACTGCTGTTACATCCCCGCTCCTGAGCAGCACGATTCTACTGATGGAAAAAAATTCTTACACTAAGCCGGTAACTGCTTTTAGTCTAAGCTCTATCCTAAAAATCTTCCTGGCGTCGTAGGACCTGAAGAAATAGTAGTTCCAGCCAGTGTAGCTTGTTGGATCATTGCGATATGCAAGCTCGACCATCACGTCAAGGTAGCAGCAATCGGTTGGGAGTCCAAGAACCGCTGCACATCTGTGAAAAGTTGAAACCAGTCAATCTTGAACTCACGTTCAACTCATCGTTTCCTGTTTCATAACATCTTGGTGTGTATCCGATCCATTTCTTTTTTTACTGTACATAATCGTTGAGCAGTAGGTAGTTCTTCGTTGGTTCGTTCCCAGTGTTCTTTGTCACTAATTGTTTTTGGCTGGCCATTTGATCTTCAGTATCGAGCAAAGACAACAGTTGTTAAAAGAAGTCTGAAGACTGTTCTGAATGCTTTTCTTGACGTACCAAGTCTTTGACCGATATAGGAGAACTGATCGACTTAACATTAGTGTTGAGAATGCGAATTTAGTTCTTATCGCTGAGTTAAGGAGATATCCAAAATGATTTCGCAGTAATGAAAGTGTGCCTTGTCTTTCAGATCTCGGCTGGCTCTGACACCTAAATCTGTGCTACCGCCAGTATTCGAAACGATGTCGTCTGGAGAAGTGAAGGAACTGACGTCTTTCAGATTGGTGCTTAGTGTTATTATTATTATTCCATTGCGTTGCGAGTGGAACATAGGGCTTCAACAACAGATCTCCACTTTGCTCTATTTCTTGACGTCCTCTTCAGCTGGGTCCACGATTGATCAAACTCTCTCATCTCTTCCCCGCACGATCTCCTCCATGTCACTCTCGCACTGACGACTCACTCGTCGCTTGCCAACGGGATTCCACTCGAGGACTTGGCGTGCGATGCCATTCGACGGTTTCCTCAATGTATGCCCTATCCATCTCCACTTTCTCCTGCACATTTGTTGAGCGATCGGCTCTCACCTGTTGGTTTGTTCCCATAATTTCTTGATGTAATTGTTTCTGTCCATTTGATCTTCAGTATTGTGCGAAGCCAGCTGTTGATCAAAGTCTGCAATCTGTTGAAAATCCTTTTCGTGACACTCTAGCCAAGTTTCTGACCCGTATAGAAGAAGTGTTTTTGACTGGATTCACATTGGTATTGAAAATGTGAACCTTGTTCCTTATGCTGAGTGCGGAATATTTCCAAACTGGTTTCAGGTGGATGAAGGCGTGTCTTTCCTTTCCGATTCTGACTTTGACATCTTTGTCCGTTCCGCCTGGGGCTGAAACGACGCTTCCCAGATAAGTGAAGGAGGCAACCTTAATGTTGTTGCTTGACTATTTTTGTTATCTTTGTCTTCTCTATATTCACTTGATGTCCTATCTCTGTTGTCTGTTTGTTCTTCCAACTTGCTGATTTTCGCCTGTAAGTCTTCGAGTTTACGTAACACGAGACATAAGTCATCCGCAACGACCAGAGCTTCTACAGTCTTCTTATTTATCGAAGGTATTCTCCTCTTCTCACTTCCCACTACCTGTTGCATGATGCAGTCCAAGAGAAGTAGACAGGCTAGTCTTACTCCTATCTTCACCTTTAAGGTTTCTCTGAGTTTTCTGTTATGGGTCGCTTGACATGCAGCATTGTTATATAGCTGTCGAATGGGGTCGGTAAAGCTATAGAAGGGTGTAGGAGGTGATTATTACTTTGTGTATGCTCGCTGACATTGTGGAATTTCATCTCTTCTTCTTATTCTTGAAATATTTCAAATTAGAAAGAACTTTAGTGTTGTATGACCTCAGAGTTCAAGACATGGATAACTGGATCTCCGTCTGCGTCGGTGGCACAGTGGTTAGGACTCTCACCGACCATGCACATGGTCCGGGGTTCGACACCCTGTCGACGCACACCTGATATCTATGGTCGGCCTGCAAAATTCGGGCTACCGATATCACATGCTGAAAATTCCATACCTGTACCAAAAAATACGGTGTGGAATCAATCTG